GGGGGGGGGGGGGGAAGAAGGTCTAGCTGAATTTCTGGAGCCAACTGGGCAGAGGGTCCCAAGCTCCAACTATCAGAGGGACGGGGCCAATGACCATCAAGATCCATCAAAGTGTGGTGTAAGGGCAACGTAGAGGGGAGGAGGAGCCTCGCAGAAGACCAGTGTCCCATGGTCCCCGGAACGAGGAGCCCCGATAGTCAATCCCCACTGCTGTGATAAGATCAAGTCGTGGCGGGCAAGATTGGGGAAAGGTGATTTGGGTTGACGACATCAACTCGCTGAGATCACAGGGATGGACGGGCGGACAACTTAGAGCATCTGGGGGCGCAGAGCACGAGACCGGATGTTCGAAACCAGGAGGGTACACAGTGTGTGAATGGGTATTCGAAGCGAGGCAGGCACACCCAGATTCCTGGAAGGGAAGTAGTATTGTACCGATTTTCAAGAAAGGTTTAAAAGATAAGCCAGAATCTATTGCCCTAAGTTTGATAGATGTTTCAGCTAAATTTTTTGGGCGCCATTTGTTATATCATCTCAAAGCATGGGTAAAAGGGGAAAACATATTATATGAACATCAGACTGGATTTAGGGACGGATTGATAACATATTTATTCTTCAATTTGAGACATAAGTATATGCAAATGCGCAAATCAGCACTGTATCTTCCATTTGTAGACTTGTCAAGAGCTTTTGACAGTATAGAATAGATGGAAGAAAACTTCGGGAGAAACTGATAAATTATGGGATTGACGCTTCCCTTTTGTACTTGTTGATAAAATATTATAAAAAGATACATGGGCTCAAGTTAGGTGGGGCTTGAAGGGTGAACTTACACAAAACATTCACATACAAAAAGTGGTTAGACAAGGATGTATTTTGTCCCCTTTGTTATATAAACTTTACATGAATTACATTATTGGAAATATGCAGGATGTGCATTTCCATCCCCCAAAACTATTAGTAACCACGATTCCTATGTTAATGTATGCAGATGACACTGTTATACTGTCAAGAACTCCTATTGGATTACAGAGAGCAATTACAACTTTTTAGCATCTTTGTGGACAAAATAACATAAAGATAAATTATGATAAATCCAAAATAATGTATTGGGGAACTTGTTTGATGAAATATCCATGAAATATGGGGGGAACCAAGCTTGAAGTTGTCAAAACCTATAGATATTTGGGTGTCTTATTCACAGCTTCTCCATCATGGAAACATCATATCCAGTCAGTTAAAACTAAGGCAGTCCAATTGGCTGTGGCTATAAAGAAATTTTATGAAACCACAGCAGGACAATCAGTCCAAGCTCCTATATCTGTATACAAAGTCAAATTTACCTCTCAGATCTTATACAGTGCTGAAGTATGGGGTTATGCCAGTAGTAATAATGTAGACATACCTCAGAACAAGTTTCTTAGTGCTCTTCTGGCTCTTCCTCCCTCAACTCCTGCATCTTTTCTGATATTAGAGATGGGAATGGATTCTATTTTAACTTATATTATTATTAGAATGGCAGGATTTTGGTTTAAAATCCTGCCCCTTTTATCATCATCTTGCCTGCTTCAATTTTTCTACATAAAAGTTATTAATAATCCCCCTCCTCTTCAATCACCCTGGTTAGCTTTTCTTTCCCACACTTTTGCACGTTGCCTGACAAAGTAGATTGATGAAATGAAATTCATAGGCTCCTCTGTGAAAGGTTTTCAAATCAATCTACTGGATACAAAAAATCATGGACTAAATATAGACATTGGATATGACACATTATAACCAGCCTAACATCTGACTCCCCAGGTAAACCCTCCACTTTTTACCAGCTATTCTCATCCCGCCCCCCAACCACTGACTACAGCTACATTCATTTCCCCTCTCCCCCACCTGTCTCTCACCTACTGACCACCTCAATTTACATTTTGACTGACTGGCTGTCTT